CATTGACACAGAAGCGGCATGTGAGTATTCCACACTGCAACTCCAACATCTCTGACAGCCGACACTTTCGAGCTCGCAAAGATCCACAGAACGATCCGAAGAAGCAGCGCCAGCGCATTGCGCAGCCATAATCCATCGCGAACGCTCCGAAACGATCCCCTCACCGTCCGCAGCCCCTCCGATATGAACTTTGCGTACGCGTAAGGTCAACGAGCCACAGGAGCAAGGGCATATGTCGATCAACTTGTAATAACTGCCAATCAGTGCACTACACCGTCTTCAAAAGTGTCAAGCTCAGCTGCGCTCGTTGCCAACATGTGAGATCACGGCGACCGTCTGGTACTATACTCGTGCTTGTAGAGCTACCGCAGATCTGCAGTCTGCCCTGTACCACAAGATTGGTGAGCATCTGCTCTTTCGCTTCCTGTATTCCGACCGACGGTGGCTTGCGCAAGAAGCCATGGAGTTGTGTGGTCGTCTAGGCTCATAGCAATCACATAACTGATGGATGGAGGGCCTTCCGCATTCTGGAAGTTCCACGTTTCGAGAGAAACTTGCTCGCATCATGATAGATGGATGGATGGGAGATATGTAGCCTCTCGGCATTACGAACGGCATCGGAGGAAAGCATAACTTTTCTCCACATGTGCATGCAAGAGACGGCGGCGTATAGACGTGGCGACAGGTTTCAAATACCCCGTGGAATCGATTATGGGCAGCGCCCCACTGTCGCAGTCACAACCAACAAAGAATTGCTGTAGAAACGTTTGAAGACAGTCTCGAGAAGAGGGCTTGTTGGAGGTTCAGAATGTCCTCTCGATCTTGCTGCACCAAGGACCAAACGACTGATGCATCCAAGCTTGAACCAACAGCCTTCTCCACGAGCTTTCACATACGATGTCTGGCGGCATCAGCTCTATAATTACCAGGAGCGATCGGCTGAACGGGCTCTTGGAAACTGCCTTGCCGCCTATGGTTCGCTACGAGTATGATCCACGGTGTTTACTTCGTATCGCTGGTGTGGTTTCCAATCATTCTTCGCAGTGATTACGTAGGTTGGCCTTTGGGATAAGCTTACATCACCTCCTTAATCCCATCGATTGCGAATACAGTTCCATACATCCAGCTGAGTAAAAGCCTTCCTTTTGTCGAGTCCAGCCAGGGCCACCTATATCAACGGTATAGAGAACATAACTCTCATCGTGGCGGCGCTGAGGCCGGGATGATCGACACAGAAGTCGGGAGGACAACCAAGTTTACTGGCAAGTAAGGAAGGTGTTGGTAGGAAGAATTAATCCTCGATCGCAGTTTTGTTTTGACCCTCATCATGAGGGCTCAATTGCGTCGCCAGGCCATGTCTGTTGCCCGACCATGACATTCGCAGAGGTACATCGTTCGCATCGCTTTGATGACATGACGGTTCGTCAGCCGTTTGATGTGTGGCAATACATCGACGAGGAACAAGTTGCAGGCACAGAACTCAACCAGAAGCTGTTCTGCCAACCAACTCTTGAGGTGGCTGAAACAAAGCATACAAAGTTCGGCAGTCTCAGTAATTTGCCGTGCGATTCCGTACATCCAGCTTCAGGATCCAGATAAGGTCATCATTAAATGCGATAGGGCAATGGCGACATGGCCTTAAACACGATCGGGCATCCTTATACGGGTCGCTGCGTAGGCCATAACGCGTACGAGCGCAAACCAGCTCTTACTTCGAGAAACTCCTGAAATGTATAGCATTTCAAGAAACGCTGCGAGCAGACCGACTGAAATATTTAAGGAGCGTTCAAGAAGCCTCGAGTTTTGGACTATGGCGGTAGAGGCGCTCTTTGAGAGTTATTCGTCAGCATGGGCAATCTGTCCTTGATCACGACGATGATCAGATGTCTAACAGAAGGCGATACGAGTCCTTCGGCGGATCTTAGCGTCTTCACGCACTCGTGGATTGCCATCCTTAATCAAGGTGTGACGTCCAAGTACAATCGCACCTTGCAGCTTTGCGTGAGGACGAAACAATCGACATGCGTGGCACAGCCTCTATAAGGATAGTGGTGTTCGTTGGGTTCACACTGCGTCGCAGACCAGAAGAGCACAAGGCGACATTGCAGATGGGTTTTAAGCTGCAGTAGCATCCGCAGCAAAAGGCCGAGCCAGCCGTCGTTAAGTCTGCATTCGAGTACGGAGTAGCTGGGAAATTTGACGCTACAAAGCTTTGCTGCAACCTTGTGAGAGTAGGCATGGCGTCCCGCTCGCGTCGGCGTTGTTCTTTGTCGGCCCCAACATAATTGTCGAGACCATCAGCGCTGAGGCCGCAGCTCTGCTAAGCATTTTCATGCTGCACAGTATGACTGACAGTACATGAACTTGTTTTGGTATCCTGATTGCGCGAAGCGTTCGATCGGTGGCGTAGCAGAATGGGGCTTTGCCGCAGGCGCTGGTCACGCTGACCATGTCTACAATCGTGGGTCGGAGGCTGGAGCGGGGCTCCATCCTGGGGTTTGGTCATCTTAAAAGCATCCGTAGCGATGCTGAAGATGTGACCTTTCGCGTGTCCGCCGACAAGTGTGTCGTGTGTCGACTAGTAAATCTGCCCGTTTCGGCGGTCTTCCAAGCCGCAGGACCCAACACGTACTGGAGGGACCTCTCACCCTAGCTGCTACTACCGCAGATATTGTGTGATGTGAGGGGGAGCATTATCTCTTAACTGGACTCTTGTTCTTGGCCTCTTGCTCACCTGGCTATGGTGTTGTGTGAGGGGGTCTCGGGCGGGGTATTGTGGTCGATGTGAGGCGCAAGCCCACTTAGGCAATGAAGCTGCAGCATTGGGAGACGGAAGCTTCCATGTGCCAGCACAAGATTCCGTCGATGATCTATTGTCGAGTCTGCAGTCGCAGCTCTGATGGAAGAGATGGTTAGGTTATCGTTGACGTGGAGCATGTGTGGGAAGGAACCGCCTCGATGTGGGGCTCCCCATGGCTCAGGAGGCAGGTGCGGCGATGTGAACAGGACAGGAAGGGTACGAGTATCTGGCTGTGTGTCATGGCAAGGTACGGTAGCCAAGTGGTGCGATATGTTTGGTGGTGGGGGATGGGGGTGGTCGGGTCACGGACTGGTGTTGTGACGAAGATCCCAAGGGGGGCCGCGGAGAAGAGGGGGACGCGCCGCAGTTGAGCAGAACGACCAAGATATCGAGCTGGAATATCAAATGGTTCTATTGCACGCAACGGATGACTGCAAGAGAGTGGCTCGATACGTACCGCGTACTGTGAAGAGTGTAGTCGATTTTACAGGTCTCGAGCTCGCTGGAGTGGGTGGCAAGTCGGTCCGAATCATCCATGCTCGAGTTGGCCCAACCGCCCCGGCCCCATTCCCGAGACTCCATCTTCCATCCTCGAGCAAGGACTCGAGTCGACAACCAGGCTGCAGCATGAGGCAAAAGGCCTGGGATGTTTCGCTTTGTGAATACACGGTTGCGGGCAGATCTATGAGATGGACGCGGTCCTTAAGCTGTGTGTAGCAGTTACATGTGCAAGTAAGCCCACACCCTTTCCAGTCATGCGCACGGATCTCGGACTTGAGCTAACGGCAGGGCAGATAAGACGTTTAGTTACTTTCGTACATATTTTTTTTTTCGCAATTCACTGGAGAACTTGACTTTCTCTCCATGCCTTTCCTTGTGCCTTGATTCCCCACATGACAAAGCTGTGCCAAGGCCAACAACCAGCCTGGCCCGTTGTGCTTTCCACAAGGCTTAGCGCTGGGGAACTTTATTTCCACGTCTGCTCACTGCCCCTCCCTCCACTACTGACCACTGTAGCAACCCTATACAGCACCTCATCGCCGCTCCCTCACGCCCGTCCATCCAGCAGATGACTCTCATCCCAAGTGACTGTACGTCCCTGATATGGAGCCCAACCTAGAGATCCTCCCCATGGTGGCTCCAGCCAACACGAACACGCGAGGATCTCGTCACCAAATCCGTCTGAGCGTCTGAGCATCACGCGTCTCACCAGGTGCCACAGCAGGACCCTTTTCATGAGATCCTACCACGTGTAAACAAACGAGCGATCTGTATAGCAGTGAATTGGGGCCTTGGTATTTGTAAGCTTCGAGTGACTCTTGGCCTCGAGCTCTGCGCCACCAACATACCGTCAAGCTGGCCTCACACACTCAAGTCTATACGCTTCTGCTAGATGTACAGCTGAGACTCCTCTAACATTGCAGAATCTGGAGACTTCGATGATTTGCATGCACTCGCCTGAAAGCCAGCTAAAAGGCAGAAGACGTATGCTAGACCAGCTAGAACTCTCTGCCAAGAACTTCCAATCCGACAAGGTACACCGCTTCCGTCCCTGATCATTATACTTCGTTACAGAACCATGGGTCGTAAACTGCCCCTGTGAACCCTCGCATTAGCTGGCAGCGTCCAATCATAACAGTAACACTACGATTATCCAATGGCTCACGTTGATAAAGCATCACGTCGCCAGACCATAGCGCTAATGACCAGATTCCAGACGGTCGGCTCGCCAATACCCACATTTTTCACACTTCTCGCCGCTATGTCGTGCTGACAGGCTGTTTTTTACATACTTCTACACAGTCCTCACCTTCCTCTGAAGGATTTAATCTTTCGACCATAGCTTATTTGGCTATGTTCATCGAGCATTATATCTATGAGAGGACCTGGCAGGCAGGCTATGATTGATATTCGGACAGAACATGCCTGGCCGCCGTTGAAAATCTACTCCGCTCTTCCGACTCTAGTCAGCCTGACAGCATTCCAGCGCAAATTAGTTTGACACAACAGGGACCAAGGTCGTATTGCGCACCACAGAGATTACGTTTGGGTCGACCAGATCGTCAGCTTCTACTTGACCCTGATAATCCCGAAGGTCATGAGTTACGACATTCACGTGGGCCGCTACTTTCAGGTAATACGTATAATTGTTTTTCTTATATCACTCATCCGAAAATGAATGTCTCCTCAGGTTATATTCTTTCGTTCGGTGTCGAGACATAATAATTAATGACGACAACAGTGAGACGACATCAAGTCCAAGCAGTTCCTCGGTCTCGTACAGGAGCTTGCTTGGTCTGCCCCTTGCATACCGTTCTATTCTGTCTCTTTCTCTTTCTCTTTCTCTTTCTCTTTTCCCTTCTTTCGCACATCTCAAAGCATAGAGTTCTCTAAATTTCTTCACCCTCTTGAGATGACTCAACACTTCTTGCACTTATCTCCTCTTCTCCTCTTTCTTCGTTTGGTCAATGTCGTTTTTCTACTCGTTTAATCAACATCTTTTTCTCGTTTTCTCTTTCTTTCTTTTGGTAAACTTCATTTCTATCTCTCTTGATGGATTTACATTGACCGGGTCAAGTCATTCAAAGCAGCTTCTGCCCCGTCAGACTGTCCACGTCCCAGTCTGTGTCCACAGCCTAATCCTCGAAATGACGTTCGTATGTGCACAGTGGAATTGGCCAAACATCTCCGAACCATGGTTGCTATAGGCAGAGGAGAGCTTGTATAAGATCAGCCCGTTGGCCTCAACATTGGGGCTTGCCATGCTACTTGCGAAAACTATTCTACGCTTGACGCATCGCTTTTTCAACTCGTTCTCGAAGTTGCTTTCTGCATGCCTCACCCTGTTTCTAACACTTCTCGATAACCAAAATCCTACGTCACCACGTTTATATTACGGAATCGATAGACGCATATATCGCATTTCGTTTGGAGATATACGTCACCATTGTCAACTCAGACTCTATCTTGTTGGATACTGTTGCTGCAAGACAGTTTCTTTGCTGCCCTCTCTCACCTGAGCGCAAAGCTTAGGCCAGCACAACTGCATTGCAGACACTAAGGCGCTATCGCTGCCTCCAATTGGATCCAAGGTCGCAGTGCATGCTCAAGCAGCTTACTTCAGAAGCAGAAATTACCCTCAGATTGCATCCCAGTGTGCAGTTATTGCTACTGCTCGATATATCTTACCCCTCTCACCTTCCATCCCTGTGAGATTGTGTTACGTCAGCGATTGCTGCCCCCAGGTTTGGAGATATACCACCCGCACTACATAGGAGAGGCTGCAAATATCGACAACTTTTCAGTTACAGGACCTTCGACGTACGACCTGCAAATTTCAAGTGTTCCTTATACAAAAGCAGTCGCTTGACTGAAGATATCGAGAGGTCTGCTGCAGCTATCTTGGTAGAACTTTGTCGAATTGCAAGGACCTTATCGAGGCTGTCGTCGTCAACGGCCGAGCTTTGCAGAGCTCAAAACAACGCTAGCTTGTGTCTGCCTTCTCATTCATCACGCCGATTACAGGCTTCTCTTCATCCCACCACCTTCTCAGGGCCTACGACCCACCGCATCGACACCAGGTACGTACTTGCGCGACATAGCCGTTCCATCCGTCATTTCCCATGGCATTCATCATGTGTGGGCATCTTCACATATGGCATGGTCGCCTGCGTAATCCTGTGCAATCCGGCCCTGTCCTTCTCCTTCCTCAAGTCTGCTCCCCCGCTCCCACGCCATGGGTGGGACCCAGCGCTATCTTTCAGCTATTGCTTCAAAACTTTGCTTACTTTGCAATAGCCGCTGTGAGACCGTTACAATTCGCTCTCGGAACGTCACTGCTACGGTGCTCAAGCAACTACAAGTGAGTAGTCTTTACCTACCCCGCTTAGCCTATATTGGGACAACGTCACGCTCAGCTTCACCACCCTTTTGGTAAGTTGATATCAAATACATCAGGCGCGCCGCACAGGATCTTTCTCTGCAGACGTTTGCTAACCTGTACAGGTTGCCATGGCGCCATCTGACAATCAGCTGAACTTGATCAGCACTTACGACAACGAGTACGAACACTTATTCAGCATGTCCACACCCGCGAACCGCAACGGCTACGATGCTGCATACGACATGGCCGAATTCAATGAGCCAGCCAGCTGGGCCTCAGATGTGCCTTCCGCTATGCCCGACATCGCAGACCATAGTGTCCCGGGTAGCTCTGACATGTTTCGTGACGGATCTAGCATGTACTCCGATACGTTCTACCAGTCTACCGCAGGATCTGAACAGTTCTTCGAGGCTCTTAGCGAATTGTATGCATATGAAAACCATTATGACGGACCTTTGCTAACATGCTTAGTGATGGCGAGGATGCCCAGTACGCTGACACCAATTCCGACAAAATCAACGATCTTGACGATGCTACTGTCACGAATCGCCCTATGAGTATTCAAACTAGCAGTAGCATTGATAATATTGCTACCATGAGTTCTCCTATGGGTGTTCAAGCAAGCAGCGGTTTCGTAGAGGAGTCTGAGATCAAGTCGGAAGGCGAGGATGCCCGCTTCGATTATGTAAGTTACACACCTTCCTATACTGGTGAATACGAAGAGGAGGACGACCATAGTGAAGAGAGCGATGAGGGTTCCTTTGAAAGTTCTAGGGCCAAGACTATCCCGAAGACCAACAAAGATGGCGCCCGGCGCAAGCCACGCCAGCCCCGCGCAAAACTTTTAAAATGGGGTGATAACGACTGGAAGAATGTTGTCCTCGGCATCATCTGGGCTTGCGGCGAAACTGGTGTGCAGATCCCCTTCGATCAGGCCGCACAAATCGTTGGTGAGAGCTGTACTGCCGGTGCTTTACAGCAAGCTGTGTTGAAGCTACGCCAGAAGCAAGTCGCCGAGGGCAACTGGATTCCGTCATTACGCATGGCATGGACTCGCAAATCTAGGAACTCTGATCCCTCTTTGTTCGATGCTAACGACGCCAAGGTGTCCAAGGAGGTGATCAAAAGCAAGACGATGCTGCCAAAGAAGAAGGCAACACGTTTCGTCGGTAATCAAACCCTCCTCATCACCCTCAAGTATGCCTACAGAGAGGCTGATCAAGAACACTTAGAAGCCATCAAAAACCTTGGTTCCAAGATTAAGGGTGCCCTGCAGACCCCACTTCACAGTCGCCAGCGCGCCGAAGAACAGCGTCTCGCCAAGCAGAGGGCCCGCGACAGTAATCGCAAGGCTCGCATTCACGACAGTGTCCTGACGACTTATCTGCCTCTGGATGACCCTACAGGCATGCCGACGCCTGCCCTGACCCCGACCTCGGCCACTCACACCCAGCTCGGCTCTCCGGCCACTGGTACGAGCCAGTATAACGAGTTCATCGTAGCTTCACGTGGTGGTGTTGAATACATTCCGGGTAATATGGGAGCTACCAAGAGCATCATCGCGCGATTCATGGGCTCACGAGCTTCCCAGCCTCAGGGTGCTTTCAAGTATACACCGTACAGCAGGATTGATCCATCTGCGGCAGGCTACGTCATGGACCGCGGCATTGGCGAAGTCAGTGATGAAGACAGCGACGTATTCCACGCACAAGCTGCTCTCGATGTCAGCCGTGGAGACACAGAGGTCAAAGACTCCTTATACGGCCCCAAGTCTGCTGAAGATCCCTTCGCACTCTTTTAGTGACACCTCCAAATGTTGTCTCAATCCTGGTACGCTGAATTTGGACTTTATTCTGAATGTAAGATGACACCTACATTATTGCCACCACACTTACTAATACTTCTTTAAGCTGTCACTGTCACCTAATCTGGCTCATCACTTGTTCCTCTCTACGACTGATCTGTCCGGCTTGGATGCAATAGTGCATGACTCACGATTCTTGCGTTATGACCTGATGGCTTCTGATTATCTTGAACGACACGATTGCACTACCTCGATTTCTGCGACACGACTTGAACGAAGTTTCTGGAAAATGGTACAATTGAAACAAATTTTGGTCTCTTGTTACGTAAAGGGACTGAATAAAGTACATGAATCTATGGAAATTTGTGCTCAAGGCCATCATGACGGATTCTAGAAGGGCTGCACGATTTGGTCTTCTCTGACTGGCATATTCCGTGCAAATGCATGTCTCTTTGACATCATCGGGGCGTATGAGCTTTCGATTTCTTAAAACAATAATGGGTGCTCAAATACAAGTGTTCGAACCTGAACCCTGTGCGTTCCAATGTACTGTGTGTGATAGTGATACTTATGGTGATTATGCTTCTTTGACAAAACGATATGCCAACTAAGCCAACCCTTTTGAGTTTCTTTTGATATCTCATTCACACTCCATCGCCATCTTTCTCAAACAACAGCCTCTGCACCCCCAGTCATTACCCCACCCCGTACCCTTCTCTCTCACACATGCAAACTAGTCTCACTTTTTGCTTGAACAGAATTTTCCGGCTATCAAAATACATAGCGCCGTCCTCCTTACTCGCACTCAAAGTAGCATCCACGCACCCACGCTTGCCCACATACTTGAACTCACACCCACGTCCCCACTTCCTCCCAAGCACAACCACCAAGCAACCCCGCCCCAACCCATGGGCCTCTTCTCCCGCAACCAAAAAGGGCCCGACCTACAGATACAAAATCGCCGCCGACCAGGACCGTGCAGGACGTCGGCTTCTCCACAATCTAAACGCCGGCAATGTCGATCTCGGCGGGCGCACCTTTGTGCCAGGTCAAGAGACTATGATGCCTGATGAGAATGGGGTGCCGGTGTTTGTGGAGTATATGGGGGTTGTGGGAGGGGAGGGGTGCTGGAAGCAGCTGGTTATGTTTAGGGATATGCAGGAGAGGTTGCATAGGGAGAAGGCGGATAGGAAGAGCAGGGGGAAGAAGGGTAAGGTGGGTGGGAGGGAAAGGTGGGGATTCTGGTGGTCTGGGAGGGGTTGGGAGTACTGGGAGATTTCGTGGTTTTGGGGAGACTGGAGGTCCTGGAGGGCATGGAGGTCTTGGATCATTCGGAAGTGGTAGAGGATTTGGAAGCACTGGAGACTTATACCAGCCTGTGATACCAAGCGGAGGCATAAACGCAAACCCATCTCCCCCCCTCCTCACTACCTACGATACCACCACCCCTATATTCGGCGGCAGTATGCATCAAGCCTCCGTGCCCACAGCCCAAAAAACCGTACGAACGAGAACGCTCCTCCAGACACCCTACCCACCAAGCCCCAGCATCCAACTCGCACTTTCTCCTTGCTCAAACTCGCTTCGACAAGGAAGTCCAGGCCTTACAGGCCTCGAAATCCTTTTTCAGCCATACCAATCCCACGTCCTCGCGATGTGTCCAACCTCACGAGCCCTTGTATACACCACGCCATCACACTCCGAGCCATGCGTTTCCAGCTCCATTCCAGCACTGGCCTACAGACTACTTCGAATCCCAAACTCTATCCCAGTTCCCGCCCCAGCTCCAACAAAACCACCACACGACCGCACAAAGCATCCCCGATCCCCTAGTCACACAACAAGGACCACTGGGCATGTACGGCAAACGCGCATATGTCCCCGGTCAGACGGAGCTGCAGAGGAAGTTCACAGGGAGCCAGACGGATCCACAGCAGCGGTATGAATATCTTGCTGAGCTGGATAAATTGAGAAAGGAGAATGAGAGGCAGGGACGTGGGGGATGGGGGTGAGAAGGCGGAAGGTGGCCTGTGTTTTTCTATTCACTTGGGAAGCAATGCTGTCAATTGAGAGAGTTTATTGAAATAAAAGTGGTCATTAATGATCGTAACGCTTGGGTATTAAATTTTCGAGCAAATACTTCTTCCATGTTTCTTCCATCTCAACGTCTACACAGTAGTACCTCATCTAAGCGCGTTCCAGATCCGCACTTGCCCTCATCCGAAAGCCCGTGCTAATCCTCGGCGCCGGCCTCTCCAAGCTCAATCTGCCCGCAACCGTCACCTTGCCGCTTGTATTCGTGCCAAGAGCCGGCAGCGTACTGTCCACCGCCCTCGCTGTGCTGTGACTCGTGACGGGAAGAATGGAACCGCCCTCTGTCCAGCGTGCACTGCCAAGATAGCTTTCGATACTGCGTCGACCGCCATAACGTACGGTTGTACTTCTTCCAGTGCTGAGGACTTGGTCGAGGGCACCAATGTCGATTCCGTACTCGATTTTGGTGGAGGTGTTGTCGTCGGTGATGACGTCTTTGCCTGGCTGACTGTGGTTTTGCTTCGCTCTGCGGTCGCGAAACCGACGACGCACTTCACGGAAGAAATCGCTTATGGCGTCAAAGGAAAGGGCGATTACGATGAAGGGGATGCTGAAGGCTAAACCAAATCCAAACACCCATTTGCTGACAAAGGAGAGTGGGAGCGAAGGCTCATCGCTGCCTTCTCGATGTGGGAATTCTCGGATATTGATGGCCATCATGGCCGCAATAAAGGATAAGGGGAGGAAGATGATGGTTACGATTGTGAAGATCTGTATGGTCTGACCCTGTTCCGCAGTCGCAGCAGCTTGGTCGCGTGCAAACCTGGCCTCGAATGCGTTGGCATGCTTTTGCTTCAGGTCCAAGAGATCAGTGATGGATTTGTAGATGCGCTCAGCTTGCTTGTCCATGCGGTCCAAGTCTTTGATATGAGTTTCAATCGTCTTTACCATGTCTTTGAACCTCCTCTTGAGATCTTGTTGACTTCTGTGTTCTTTATGATAGATGTCCAGGATGCTTGCTTCCATGTCTGGAATGACATTGCGCTGGTCATCTAAAACTTTTGCAATCATGTTCAGCTCATCGCGGATATCTTTGGTCTCTCGCAGAAGATCTGTCTCGGCGCCTATGTCCAGCAGCTTGTCAACGAATAGGGGTGCATGAGAAGCTGTGCGGTCCGTGTCATCGTAGCTAAATTGCTCTTCTAGAATTGGGGGATCCAGTAAGGCATGATCATGCGAGTGATGTGCTGTGTTCCTACGGTTCAGATGCTCGCGCTGCCTGCCTTCAGCTTCTAAATGGCGTGAGAAACGACTTGCGCGCCTGTGATGCTGCAGCCACGCTGATGCCTGACGCGAAGCAGTGTTGAACTCATCAAAGAGCTTTGTTTCCATCTCTGTGGCATCGCCAATGGTGGCCTCAAACATATCGAGAAATTGATAGTCTTCATCTCCGATTCGATGCCTGTCGAACATCCCGCTACACCGACTTGTAATAATCATCGCGAGGTCATATACACTTTTCACTGATTCTCCAGTCTTGCTGTTGATGTCTTCAATGACGCCATCAAGAACATTGAGTGGGTCGTTGCGCGGCTGCTGCCAACGTTGAGGGAAGGCAGTCACGATGAGATCCTTACCAAGTGTCCAGAGCCATAGCGTGTCGACCATGAATATCTTTTCATCCCCGTTCCGCTGGCCAGAGGACTTGTTCTGATAGCGGTACACTACCTGATCACGGTCGCGAGACTGCGTGTCAATGTTGTGATAGAAAAATTGATCAAGCGTACGCCGCACGTGAAGTGAAGCTTGTGAGGAGGTCAGATGGGCTCTCAGTAGCATTTCGTCATACGTCGAGGCTCGCTGGATCACCGGTTTGAGAATGCGTTCTTCATTCCTTTCGCGTTCTTTGAGCAGCTGTGCTTGCAGGATTGCATTCTGCATCTCTTGACGTTGGCGATCTGTTTCGAAATGGAGGTATGGCATGAAGGAGAAAATGTTGCCTTTTGTCGATGGCATTGATTCCTTTCGTCCAGGACTACCGGGCGACCGAAGATTCCCACTATTGTTCAGCGAAGAGCTGGTCCCCGTACGGTGCATCTGACTATCAGGACGCCGTGATGGTGGTGTGTCTGTACCACCTGTTCGTTTCCCTGCGGGCCTAGATCCACCCCATTGTGCTATCTTCTTAGGCTTGTTCTTGGATTTTCCTTTTCCGTCTTTACCAGGCAGTGTTCCCGACCCTGATCCGGTTGTCCAGTCGGTCTGCTCTGTACTCGCCGTGCCTGTCCGCACAGGCGTGCGGGGTACATGAGGTGAAGGTCCTTCAGATGCACCAGCTACATCAATACCTAGTCCTGTGCCACTGCTCACAACGATTGTTGGTGGCCCCTTCTCAGTACCATCAGAGAGGTCCGAATCATCATGATGCTTGGGAGCACGAGGAACGCCTTGACACATGGGCCTCATGAAGTGCGAATGGATCTGCTGTCCACGATGCTGATGACCGAATGACCTTTCAAGGGCTTTGAATCCGTCGACATCATTTGCCCCCTCTTCAATGAAAGCCTTGGTCAAGAGTGCTTCCACCCAGGCCATGTTGTTTGCTGGCAAATGTATCCATCTGAAGTTTGTTGCCTTTGAATCTTTCGGTAGAATAGAAACTGCTGGCTTCCTTGGATTGATGGGGTCTCGAGCGTAGAGCAGTTCGAATACTGTCCTGCGAGTGACTTTATTCTCATTATGGTAATTACCAAAATCCACCATTGTAGCATGGAATCCGTTGGCAGCTCCAAGCGCGTCTTCACTCAGCGCCTCGACCTGGTTGTGCGGTGCCAAGATGTTAATGATGTCCTTGCGGGCTGGCTTCTTGCTTTGCGCAGCGCGTAAGAATGGAGTGATGCCAAAAGAATCTTTCGCTGCGCGCTTGATCTCTTTCTTCTCGAGCAGGCATTTGACAATGTCTAGATGACCGGCTTGTGCCGCAACATGCAGCGGTGTCATCCCATTTAATAACCGCGCGTTGATGTCTGCGCCTGCAAGAATGAGAATCTGGAGAACCTTTACACTGCCTTGTTCGCAAGCATTGTGCAAGGCGGTCCATTTGCCATCACTCTTTGCCATGACGTTTGCGCCGTATAGAAGTAGCAGCTCCACGATATCGTCCCTTCCGTGCGCAGCAGCTAGATGCATGGGCGTCTTCTGTCTGATTTCCATTGCATTTATATTCGCCCGAGGTAGCTTTGTTCTCCTCAGGAGCATCTCGCAGAGCTCTTTCTTGCCCGTGCTGGCGGCCCAATGCAGAGGACTCCTCTTCTGCTCGTCTTGGCCTTCTTCTCCATCGATCGCAATGTTCGTCTTCAGCAACTCCGCAATAACGTCGCGACCCCAATTGCAATGCTTGTCTGCCGCTAGATTGTGTAGAACGTTCCGTCCGGTGTGATCTTTCTTGTTGACATCTGCGTTGCACCTCAGGAGCTCATTCATAATGTGGAAGTGATTCTTCCAGGCAGCCGTCATGAGCGCAGTTCTTCCCTGCTTATCCTGCGCGTCTACATTTCCGCCAAACCTCAGGAGCAACTGCACAATCCCGACCTGATTCTTCTCAATCGCCTTGAACAAGGGCGAAACCCTGCCCCCCGGGCCTCCATCTGGCTTCGCGCCATTTTTCAGCAGGTATTCGGTGATTTCAATGTTTCCGCGTTCGGCTGCGCGCATTAATCCTATGCGCAAGAGATGGTCGGTCGGCTGCGACTTCGCTTTTGCGTTCTCGATAATTGCGACGGCATCTTCGAGTTTCTTGTCCTCGATGGCTTTGAGTAGGCGTGGCTCGACGCGGGCGTTTGCAGCATCTGCGCCGTCGCTGGATCGTGAAGGGGAACGGCCCATGGTGGATTACATGGTCTGAATTCTCGATTCGTGGGATGATTATAGAGACGGGCAGAAGTGCTCGACAGCAGCGCCCGAGTCGAGATGAGATGAGATGAACGGCCCTACTGTCGATGGAGGACAGCACCCGGAAATGTAGATGCCATGTTCATTCCGCTGCACCTTGTCTTCATTGTTTTTTCTGTGTCGCCTTCATTGCGGTGGGTAATCACTTGTGCGCCACTCAGCTCGTGCAGCTGAGCCAAGTCCTGCGACCCGCATCACGTGGGACTAGGTGCTGCGGGGGGCCTGATGCAACAATCTGGAGTAGAGGATTGAGACTAAACAAGTGATGGAGTGAGGTTGTTGATGGGGGAAGGGGAGTTTGTCGTCTGTAGTCCGTCATGCTGGATCGCCATGACACGGGAACGGGCGTGACGGATGCTTAGCATCTAATAACTTAGTAGGCAAGTGGAGAAGGGCCCGCCAACTCACGTAGGCGGGGGAATGAGGGTCACGGCGCGCTCTGGTCTCCCACTCCATCACCAATCATCTGCCCAAAACATCATCACATTGGCGAATCTGGGTGCAGCATTGACACAACGCTCTAGCGTGTATGTTGCGTGTGTGCCAGCGGATGCTGCAGGTCGTCTTTGAATCTACAAATAGTTATGAAGACCAAGCCCTTCAAGCAACTGCCACCGCCAGTCGTAGAGCAGCGGTCAGCGGCGTCAGCTCCAACCAACACTCGTAAGGTCGCAAGACATCCGATACCCTTATGGCGCTTCGCAGTCCTTCTCATTCTGATCATATATCATTCCTTCAGCAGATTCGGCACAATGTCATCCGCACAGGTCGATCTATCACAGTACAGCAAATCAATCTTTGTACCGTTTATTCACAAGTTCAGCATCAAACATGACCCTCAAGTCATATGTACAATCGAAGGCATCAAGATTAAGATGCCAGTCGATACCGGATCGACTGGCTTGTTGATTGGCGCCCCAATGCTACCAAATCTCTCCTCCACAATTGGTACACCGGCCCACCACTTCTTCACAAGTAGCAAGATCCTCTATGTCGGACGTCTTGTTGAACTACCCATCAACTTCCACGGCGAAGGCAGCTCGTACGCATCTGCAACAGTGCCTGTATTCATCGTAGATAAGAGCTGGAGGTGTCCAGCATACGACCCTAGCAAGGACACATTCGAATGCCCACTCGGCCCCAATGGCGAGAAACCAGTGGAACGAGATACTTCACATATTACCTACATGGGCGTAGGCTTCGGACGCAATCAACCTCGAGACGGTATGCCTTTTGGTGCTCCGAAACTCAATCCACTCTTGAACATCGTCTCCTTAGATGGGGAGCCAGTAGACTCATCGTCAATGCGGGCTGGATACTCAATCTCGACAGCAGGCGTGCAGATAGGCCTGACACAAGACAATATACGCAACTTTGCATTCATAAATCTTGAGCCTGGTCTCACACACAGCCAGGATCAAAGGGACTGGGCAATGGCCCGTATGTGCTTCAACACCGATGACGGCGAGCCAAATTGCGGCGCAGCACTGGTGGATACTGGGATCGCCCAGATGTATTTGAGGGCGGATAAGGATCGTTCCATACCAACTATCCACATACGCAACCCAAATAAGCATGGCTATGCGAAAATGGTCAAGCGGGTAAAACCCGGGACTAGTGTTGGAATTGGGTTTCCGTCTCTGCAAGCGCCAGTAGCATCGTATTCCCTCATTGTCGGTGGTGAGTCGATAAACGAGCCCAGTGCAGTCATTCCTTTGAATCAAACTGCGCCGCCGTATATCAATACCGGTCGCAGCTTCCTGTTTGATTACTCCATAGCGTTCGATGCGACTGGTGGGCGGTTCGGTTTTCGGCCGACGAGGAGTCCAGGCGCAGTGTTGTAGGATCTAGCAATTGAGACTATCAAGGCTTTCGCCTTGTCGAAGGCTGTGACTTGTCTTTGTGTCCAAGATCAATGCCTAACCCTCTTCCTTTTCCCAGACCATCTAGTCATTTAACAGTCATGCTCCTCGTTGGGCTCTTGAATCCATCCCTCAAATCCTTGTACTCTTCAATCGCCTTGACCACCACTCCATGCGCTTGTTCACTGTCCACGCCCACCACCACAATCGCACCAACACAGCCTTCCACCCCCTTGACAAAGACGGGAAACCCTCCCCCTTCAAGCGTGTACTTTGCCCACTCGTCTCCACTCATAGCATGGTACTCTGCAAACCTCTTATAATCCCCATCGAACATACAACTCATATACCAGGTACTATGTCCCCACCTCAACACCGTATTGCGCTTTCTCTGCATCCAGGATTCGGAATCTGGCATCAGGCCTGGCAAGCTCGGTGCATGGAATAGTGTCTGCGATGCAATCGAGATGTGGATAAGACACGGACAGTCAGCCGTTCGCAGCGCATTGCGCAGGATATTCCCAATCACCCAGGCATGCTCGCAGGTAAAGTGCGCAAACGTGAAGTGACGTTCCTCGCGGGCGAGAAGCTTGAGATCGCGAGTGGGTGAGGGCAGCGTGCTGAGCATGGCGTTCTGGACGGACAATGTGGAGGAGCCGGTGGAAAGTTGAGGCGAAGGAGTGGAGGGCGACATGTGAAATTATTGTGAGAACGCATGTAAGATTGAGTTTGCGAAATTAGGTAGGGATCACTCCACTGGGAAAAAACGGGCAAGGGGACAGCGGCCAACCTAGAAGCCAGCTTGGCCTGAGTCGCGGGGTTGATTGCACGCAAACCTGTGTGAGATGGGTGGACTTGCGCGAGTCAAGACGCAATGGCGTAGTCACAATACGGGATGAAGGCTTTCCCGATGAAGTATGTATGGCGGCGGGCCGAGCCCGTGTGTTTGGGGATGCGCTAGCATGCCTCAGGTACCGATAATGGGAATATTGTATTCTCATGTATGGCACATGCAAGGAAGTACTTGCGAATTGTAGTATGGAAGTATACTATGATATCTTTGTATCAGGGGCCGCGTTTTTACCTGCGAATTGCGTGAAACATGTTTCGCGGAGACTGAAACGTGTATGTTCTGCTGAAACATGGGTGCCATGGCGATGACATTCTCATTTCTGACATTCCGTGTGTTTTCGACCTGAGACTGAGGGAGAAAATCAATTGCCGCGTGTAATCAAACTTGACAACGATCTGGATCACTTCATCGCCTGGTTGTGACTGAAATGATTAGAAGTTTACCGGTATTCGATCATGTGATGCTTGAAAAGACTCACTCACTTGGCTCGGTTCTCCAAAGCTCTCAAAAGTGCAATGAATATCAAATCACATTCAATATGAGTGCTTATCCAGGATGGTTGGATAGAACTTATCGATCAGATTACTAGCTTCACTGACTAGGTGAAGCAGTCAAGTGAGTCAACAAAACCTACCAGTGAATATCGAACACAAAGCTATCCGATCACATCGGTAATGAGTGCTGTGCCTTCAGTTACAGTGCAACAGCTGACCCCACGTTCGCTCTCTCTTTTCACTGCTACGTGAGACAGGCTCAAGTCCCCAACCTTTATCAAACTCACACCATCACACACTCAACGGGAGTAGCTTACTTGTATGATGGCCAATTCTCATCCTAACTCCAAGGCTGCAGGTAGTTCGAATGCTACCTTACCTGCAGGGTGCCCACTGATTCTAGTAGAGCACAAAGACTTTGACACCACCAGGCGAGCTCTGTTCCGCTCCAATCTTGGTGACCTCTGGTATGCAGAGACTAAGCTTCCTCTGAGTATGGAAGAAGTATGCAGCCCTTGGTGCTGGGACGTTAGGCCTCGCATGGTCTGTATGTATGTCAAGCCAGTGTACATTCCGTCCCTCATGACCTTGGCTCGATCAACTAGTGGGCTGTATGAGAAGCGAATTGACCTCCTGGAACAGGGCATAGGCATGTATCAGGAGCCATGGCTGAAGGATGTGACAGGCAGGGAGATCCAGATGTGCCAGATGCTGCATCGATATCCTCATCCTAACGTATGTGCCTACCATGGCGTCACCGTCGATGACTCTGGCCATGTGTCAAGTCTGGTATTCGATCAGTATGACATGGACGTGAGTGAGCTAGTGGACCGTGGCTGCTCGTTCAACGCTTCCAAGTGCGTCGATGACATTTCAGCAGCTATTCTACACATGCATTCACTTGGGCTCGTCCACTGCGACGTCAAGCCTAGCAACATATTTGTGAATCTGCAGACTGGGCGTTTCGTCCTCGGCGACTTCGACTCCACGCATTGGGTGGACACGGTGCTGGCAACCAAGTGCGGGACGATTGGATGGGTTCCCGAGGATGGGGAGACGAACAACATGGCTAGTTACGAGATAGATTGGTTCTCGTTGGGGATGCTGCGTGCGTGGCTGGCAAAGAAGGGCAATGGAAGACCCGTAGAAGGTCAAATGTATCCACCAACGCGGCTGATCATGGATGAGATGCAAGCGGTGTTATTGCGACGTGTGCGCGCGGGGACTGCCGAGCAACGTGAAAGTCATGGAGACCGGGAGGACGAAATGGATCTGGGTTGGTAGGTAGGGGAGGGAACTGTGTGATGGTAGCTAGTCATGTAGCATTCATGGTACTCTACGAGGTACCAAGTCTTCTCTACCCACCTCTTCCCTATGTAGCTTAGGTACCGGTACTCTACTTACCTAGTACCTACCAACTCTATCTTTTTCTTGCACGGCTGACTCATGTGTATAGATGATCTTTTTTGGTAGGTATTGTAGGAGCAGTGTACCTAGTTGCAACTTGCATGGGTGTGGCTCCTCTAGCACGATCCTGGAAGTGAATCCACTCTTGCACGTTGCCATCTTCGTAGTAGTACTCTATGTGTAGAGTAGTGTGTACCACAGGTGGCCAGCCCAAGATGACGTCTGATGTGGTGCTACTTAGTACACAATCGGCCATGATGTTCAGGACAGTGGGGCCTACGGCCGGGTTGGCATACAGGATTGTCCAAATAGATGGACATAGATGGAAATAGACATGCCCATCGCTGGCCTAGACCCACGGCCCACGGCCACGGCATCTCCTCGTCGTCTTCTTCAGGGCGTACCAGGTATTCCGTCGCCTTGTGCGCGCTGTATTGCACAACACAATAGTACTCTATCTTGCCGGTAGTTGACCCCAACTGGAAGACATGTCTTGGCCATGGAGGGACGTCTGCCCAGTGACGTCACCCGCCAACCTCCAACTAGCACAGGTCGTCAGGGCTCGACATCAAGTGACAAGACCGGCGGGGCGCCCCTTGTTGCTTCTGCGCCCCCAGTATCAACCGCCCAAACCCCGAGTCTGCCCACTGCCTGCGACACCATGGAGAATCTGGACAGGCTCAGCGCAACGGGTTTGCCGGTCTTCGACCTGAACTGGGAGAATCTCAATAGTGGCGACTGGTGAGCCAGCCTGGCCTCCCGCCTCCTGCGCAGCGACAATGCTACAATGAACATAGCATGCACCGTGTGGCGTCTACCGTACGCTCGACAATCCAACTGACACGGCAGCAGGTCTCAGACACCCATAGGCGCTCGCGAGTCGTGGCCGCCGACGCTCACATGTCTCGTCAACACTTGTGTGCTGCCCATGCCCCATTGTGCCGCCATCTTCTGGGGCAACGACCTCACTGTCATACACAACATCGCCTGGGGCAAGGCCCGGGGCAACTTGGACGGCCAGGCAACTCGCGCCTGCGACAGCTATGCGCATGAGGCGCTGGGGACACTGCGGACAGTACTGCGTGGCCGCACCGTCAAGGTGGGTAAGCAACACATCATGTCTTCCGTAGAGACAGGCCAGGGCGCTGATAGCGTCCTCCGTTAGCCGCCAGGTTCTTCCTCGACCAGTACGCCGTCGAACATGACACGCAGCTGCTGTTGAGTACCATCATCGACAGCCAAGGCGCCCGCCAGGGCGTCCTGGCGCAGATCCTGGAAAACCCAAACGTCGACAGGTATATGCCCATTGAAGGTCTGGACAAGATGGCGCGCGATCACCCTGGGAGACAGCTCAAGGAACAGGCACCCGAGGAGCATGGCCACTACTCTTCAGGACGCCAGGCCGACTTGCAGCAGACTTCGCTGTTCCAACGCTTCGCCGAGCTTCTGCCCACTGGACTTGCCATTCTGGATAAAGATGCAGAGGCCATCTTCGTAAACGACGGCTTCTTCAAATTGACCACCAACAAGGGCCAAAATGAGTTTCGTGCATGGCCAGAGAGTATTCATCCTGATGACTATGATCACGTCATGACGGCATACCGCAAGGCCTTTGAAAGTCGCGAAACGTTGCAAATAGAGTTCCGATGTGACGTTGCAGAGCCGACAGAAGTGGCAGGCGAACAGTGGAGACTCTTCTTGCTCAAACCTCTCAGTGATGATCCCTTGGCCGGCTTCATCAGTGCCATCATCGACATCACAGACATCAAACAGGCACAGCTGACCCAGGAAAAAGCAGCTCGTGAGGCCCAAGAGCGCAAGGAACAGCAGGAACGCTTTATTGACATGGTCTCGCATGAGATCCGCAACCCACTTTCTGCAGTTATGCATCTGGCCGAAGAGGTCAAGGAGGTAACGCGAGAAATTGCATCCACACGCGGAAATATCAAGGATCAAGTGGCAGACATATTGGATGCTGCCGATACCATACTGCTCTGTGTATCACATCAAAACACGTTGGTTGATGATATTCTCTCTTTCTCTAAACTTGACTCGATGATGCTATCTCTGGTACCTCGCGGTAAGTAATACTGCAAGCTTTGATTTTCAAAAATACTCATAATTTACAGAAACTCGGCCGAAATGGGAGTTTTCACAATCACTTCGTGTGTTCCATTCCGAGTTCAAAGCCAAGAATATCAAATTCCATTACGCCATGGATATATCATATGATGAACAGAACGTGGATTATGTGGTTGCCGACTTGAACCGCATGAAACAAGGTAAGATTTGTGCAGATGCGCTTTCGGCTATGTCTGACATGCTCTAGTGCTGGTTAACTTGATAACGAATTCGATCAAATTCACATCTAGAAAGAACAGCGAGAGAAAAATCACTGTCTCCGTGGGTGCCTCTGCAGAGCGTCCAACTTCTTATCCTCCCAACGTTATTTTCTTCAGTCAGGAGAAAGAGGCATTCCACATTGACTCTACTATGACTTCTGAATGGGGCTCCGGCGACGCTCTGTACCTCATGGTCGCCGTTAGAGACACCGGCATAGGTATCAGCAAAGAAGGCCAAGAGAAGCTATTTGAGAGATTCCGGTATGTCATCGACTGTACTTTACCATACCATGGCCATGACTAACTCATTATGCAGCCAAGCTACTCCAAAAACACAGGAGAGATACGGTGGATCAGGTTTAGGCCTCTTCATATCCCGTAAACGTGAGTTTTTTTCAAGTACACATTCCTGTGTCAATGTCTGATGATTAACCAGTTTGTACTCTTCATGGTGGCGATATAGGCGTAAGCTCAAAAGAAGGCGAAGGCTCCACCTTTGGATTCTTCTTCAAGGTTCGCCGTTCTAACGGCACAAGCGAAGACGGCCGGCCACCTTTCCAGTCCCGCAGTAACTCGGAGAATTCGAATGCCTCTAATCGGGCAGAAACGCCCTCTCGACAACGACCTGGATACAGCCGCGCCAATTCTAATCTTCAGAGTATAAAGGAACGTCAAACAGAACAGGCTTCAGCGGAGCAACACCAGAGCGAGCGACCAGAAGCTAAAATGCGGTCAAGTGCTGAAGATATGGAGTCTTCATTAATTGACCCTCCGACTGAGTATGTGCCAGAAGCACATCCTGCATCCACCGCAGACAGCCGGTATGAAGAGACGTATGCTATTGCTAAGAAATATACAAAAAGTACTCCAGAGCTAGAGAAAAGATTACCTAATTTGAAGAGAGGGGAAACGCAACGACAAGAGCAGGATGCCAAATCAGTGTCTAGATCGCAGAGTGACCAGCGCTCCGAGAAAAAGCAAACTCTACTCCTTGTGGAAGACAACTTGATCAACCAGAAGGTACTTCGGCGACAACTACAATCGCGCGGGTTCGAAGTGTTCACTGCAAACAATGGCCAAGAAGCAATCGACGCGGTAGCCGAACGCGGGCAGATAACAGACGAAAATCCCAATGACAGAAATTATTTCGACTGCATATTGATGGACCAAGAGATGCCAATCAAAGACGGTAACACTGCGACCCAAGAAATCCGCCAGTTGCAAGAAGAGGGCAAGGCAGGGTTCAGTCACATCCTGGGTGTGTCTGCCAACGTTAGAGACGTCCAGACCAACAGTATGCGCGAGGCAGGGATGGACGATGTGATAAGCAAGCCCTTCAAAGTAGACGACTTGGTGAGAAGAGTGAGGCGCCTTGTGCTGGACAGTGATGATGGCAAACACAACCACTGCGAGCCCGACAGCAGTGAACACAAGCCGACGGAGCCGAAGAGCAATGATATAGAAAAGGAGAGCATTTCGACTCGGGACAGCAGTCGTGCACACTTATATCCTGACAAGGCTACTGTCAGACGAGAAAATCAGCTCGAGGTAAACGGGCGGGAAGGAGAAGCGCGCGGTGGAGAAAGGTCGAGATCAAGGCAGAGCCGTTCCTAAGTTATTCCTCCAGGCCAAATTTCTTCATTATTGCATTGCATGGTGTTCTGGCTGGGGTTTGTGTTATGTATTTGCATTGCTTGGGGGAAGAAAGCGTTATGCCTCGGGACGGTTTAGGAGGAGCAACCAATGATCACTGCAATGCTACGTTTGTAGCTTAGGATTACTTCGGGGAACCATTGATGTAGACGATAAGAATGATGCGCTAATCATGCGTTAACATCCCACTTCCCCCCACTCCTCCGCATCTACCGTATATACTGTCAGTCTTAAAGCACAATGCCTCTTGCCTTTCTAATGTCATTTCATGGCACGCCATTCGTAGAACTTTTGAAATCTTTTGACGATCTGGTATCTTGAAATCACTTGTCTGATCATGTCAAAATCATTCCAGGACAAGATCGTTCTCATCACAGGTGGTGGGAGTGGTATCGGGTATGGCAACACGCATTCTCTCAGGAGGGTTTTGGAAGCCCGATATCTACACTAACACTTGTATAATGCAGACGGGCGACGGCCCTGAAAATGGCGTCTATGGGCGCCTCGATATCGCTCTGCGATATCAACGTACCCAACCTCGAAGCCGTTGCCTCTCAATGCTGTACCCCCACCCACGCCCAACAAGTAGACGTGGGATGCACAGCCGAAGTGCAGAGCTTCGTCGATACCACGCTCGCCAGGTTTAGCAAAATCGACTACGTCTTCAACTGCGCGGGCGTAAACCCGACCAGCATACCGCTAGAAGAGACGACGGATGCATACTGGGACAAGCTCGTGAACACCAATCTCAAAGGCTGTTTTCTGGTCACACGCGCTGTACTCCCGCATCTCCAGCGCGGCGCTGCCATTGTAAACGTCTCGAGCATCTCTGGCATGCGTGGATCAGCCATGCAGTCTGTTTACTGTACGACCAAATTCGGACTCATTGGCATGACGAAGTCGCTTGCGTTGGAGCTGGGGCCTAGAGGTATCAGGGTCAATTGCGTGGCGCCGGGGTATATTGATACGCCGAGCAATGCGGGCATAGTCAAGGGAGGGGAGTTTGTGGAGAGGATGAGGATGGGGAATGCGTTGGAGAGATTGGGGACGCCAGATGAGGTTGCGGATGTGGTGGCGGTTTTGTTTGGGGAGGAGAGTCGGTATGTGAATGGGGCGGTGATGGAGATTGATGGGGGTTTGAGAGGATGAACATTGTAGAGTGGGTGGTATGACGAGTATATATGGATGCAACGAGGGTTATATTTTTTGTCACTGGAACATGAAGTAGCATTTTATCAACCTTGTCTCCTGTGACGTACCCGAAGTCACATCACAGCCAAGTTCTCCGTCTGATCGAAGGTGGGTCCTCCAGCTTCCAAAGGCAGATGCGCGCAATCACGTGTGATCGACGCCACCGCCCAGCTTAGCGTCGCGCCTCAACTCCAAAAGTTCCTCCCATCGTTTGTTACATCAACGGACACTTTTGCGACACGCCTCACATTATACATCATGACCGAAGTACAACCACCGCCCGCGCAATCTACTGTCGCTACGGCAGACACGCCTTCACTCGCACCGGACACAACCCTCGAGACATCCACATCCACCGAGCTTGCGCCCATCACAACCGAACAGACCATCATAACCACCAATGCAGAAGGTAAAAAGGTCAAGAAGATTATTCGCCGCAAGAGAAGACCAGCGCGACCGCAAGTCGACCCCGCGACCTTTAAGACGGACACGCCAGCCCCAACTGGTACAATCTTCAACATCTGGTACAACAAATGGAGCGGCGGCGATCGCGAAGACAAATACCTAAGCAAGACGGCGGCACAAGGGCGCTGCAATGTTGCGAGAGATAGCGGCTATACCAAAGCCGACAAGACACCCGGTTCCTACTTTTGTCTCTTCTTCGCGCGTGGCATATGTCCCAAGGGCGTCGACTGCGAATACCTGCATCGTCTCCCCACCGTCACCGATATCTTCCCCTCCAACATCGATTGTTTCGGCCGAGACAAGCACTCGGACTACCGCGACGACATGGGCGGTGTAGGCTCCTTCCAACGGCAAAATCGCACCCTGTACATTGGCCGCATCCACGTCACCGACGACATTGAAGAAATCGTAGCGTCACTTTCAAGAATGGGGCCAGATTGAACGCACGCGCGTCCTCACCGCCCGCGGCGTAGCTTTCGTAACCTACATGAACGAAGCAAACAGCCAATTCGCAAAAGAAGCAATGGCGCACCAGAGCCTCGACCACAATGAAATCCTCAACGTGCGCTGGGCAACCGTCGACCCAAACCCCCAGGCCGCAAAACGAGAGGCCCATCGCATCGAGGAGCAGGCCGCAGAGGCTATCCGCAAAGCCCTACCCGCCGCCTATGTCGCCGAGCTAGAAGGCCGCGATCCCGAAGCCAAGAAGAGGCGCAAGATAGAAGGCAGCTTTGGCTTGCAGGGCTACGAGGCCCCAGACGACGTCTGGTATGCCAAGGAAAAGGCAGAGTGGGAAGCAGCAAAGGAGATTGAGGCAGCTGGTGGTGCTGCTCAGCCCAGACAAATGATTGAGAGCGGCGAGGATGCACATGCGCACGAGGCGGACTGTGCGGCTATGCAGGTCGCGCCGTCTGGGCAGCACAGTCAGGGCAATGGTATATTTTCCACTTCTACGCTCGCGGCACTAAGGGGATATACGGCCGCGCCGGCAAAACCGAAAGTTGCACCTGTGGCGGGGCCGCTGGTGGGATATGGAAGTGATGATGATAGCGATTGAATTTATTTCATTATTTTTGGATGCAGGCGTAAGTGTATATGTGTGTTTGGAATGGAGTGAGTGACGTGGATATGGATGGCATGGTTGATAGTCTTGAGCATATTTTTCAGCATTAGGTCTTTGGGCCCCAGGCGTAAGAAGAATTTGCTATCCGTTTTACAGGCATGTCATCGATACTACTGAGTCTGAAGATAAACCGGGCTTGCAGTCACAATTGTTTCTCACAGTCGCGAAAGCATGTTGTGCCTAGAATGTCGTTGGAAAAGCAGAGAGGGTAGCGAAGAATCGAGAAAAAAAGTAATGACGAAACGCCACAGGTTCCCAAGAAGAATACCTCGTCAAATCATCTCTCGCAGGGGAAATGAGACGGAGTACAGAAGCAAGGTGGTATACCGCCTCTCTCCTCTCCAACGTACCCCCAACCAAACCCTCAAAACCTAGCAACACCCTCCCTCTCACAGCCGCTCAAAAAAGAATCCCAATCCTTAACCAAACGTCTGCCCGCCCAAGAACTAGCCGCACAACCCAAACCCACACCCTCATCCAAGCCATCAAATCCAAACGCCACCGCCTCAGCCGGATCCAGCTTCTCCACTCTCCCAGCGTGGTGCGTCTCCTCGTCCTCGGCGCCCTTGAACAACCGCTTCGCAGCCGCCCACTCCCCCTCGTGAGCGCCCCCACAGCCAAACGCGCACACTCTCTTGCCACACGGGCGCCAAAACCTGTATTCAGCGACTTGCATCTCGGACAAGGGCCGTACACCCAGGAGACCAGAGTCGACGCTGCGATTTGAGGTATACAATAACATGGTACCAGAGGGATCGATGGGCGACGAAGTATTGGTCTCGGTGCCGTTTGCAATCTGGATACTGGGCGCCAGCGGGCTCGTGTACTGGAATTTTGATTCTGGGAACAAGGCGGGAGAGGAGTGATGGGGGATGTTTTGGAAGGCTTGTTTGTTGACCATGCTTTTGAGCATGGCGGTACGGGGGGAGATGCAACGGGATGGGCTGGTTGGGCTGGTAAGTGCTGTTGCGATGCTGAGGGAGGAAGAGGATGGGGCACGGGGAGGGGAGCGCATGGCCCATTTGTTGGGACTGCATTGTGGATTGTTGTCGTGTCCGTCGATGATGCTATCAATCAAGCCGATTGGTGAGGTGCATGGATTATGGTCGTAGTAGTCGCCACTGCAGGTAGATCTGTATGGTGTGTAGCTGCCGATGCTCATGGGGCTGGTTGTATGCATTGCTGGAGTCGCGGCACGAGGCGTGGAAGCTCCGCTTGCAACTTCCGAAGCAGGTGATGGGAACAATGCTTTTGCACTGGAAGTCGGCGAAAGTGGAGTGGGAAAGCCTGGATACTTTCTACCCACGTCTGTCAAGAGAGACAATGTGGGTCTGATAGCTTCGGGCTGGGGGCAGGACTTTGGGAAACTGCCCATGCCAAACACTGGGACACTGCCTGGAGACTGTACTTCACCGACGAAGCTGTTCATCGAACCGTCGAGAGAGGCTGCGAAAGAGGGTAGGCGGTCGTGGACTTCGTTGTGTATGTGTGCTTCTGTCGAGTGGAAGTGATGCAATGCCACGCTGGTGGGTGGACTGGTGAGATTACTGCTGTGGCTACTCCTGGTAGAGGAGCCATTACCGGTAATGCGACGAAGGGCCTGAGCGGTTAGAGCGCTGATGGGTTCTGCTCGAGCAAAGCGGGCCTCATCACAGATCCACAGGCCGCCGTACTGTTGCCAGGGGAAGTTCCGCAGGAAGTAGTCTTCGGGGTAGACATCATAACCAAGTGTGCGGGAGCGGAAGAACGCGTATACGTATCGACAGTCTGGGAATTGGCGGAGCACCTGCGGCAGAATATGTTTAGCATGCGGTCATGCAAATCAGATGACGATCGTTGTATGGTAGGAGAATCATGATACGAGGTATTGAGTTATATGCAATTAGGCAGCGTGGATATAGAGGGTAAGTATTTATAAAGATGCATGATTCAGGAACAGGCTGACACGGATGAGGTTGAGCATACATCCCAAGCGGGAAACAAAGGTGGTGTCGCTGTAAGCCTACATAAAGTTAGTGATTAGCCAGGAGATACCCAAATCAAAACTTACATAAGAATCTCAAATGCAGCGTGCTTCTTCAGCTGTCCCAGGCCGCGCCTGTAGGCATACAAGACTTCTGGTCGAGCAGTCCTAATGTTCTTGCGGCCGACCAATTTGTGCATAGCTGGACTAGTTGAGTACATGGGATCGAAGACTATAAGGTTACTAGTTCCGTCGCGACGGCGTTCAAAGCCGACGATAGTAAGAGAGTGGCCTGGCTGTTGGAGATAGATGGGTGGTAAAAGCGTTTTGTATACATTTGAGCCATCGCTGACAGCCGCGCGCGCGAAATATCGCTCGATAGCAGGAAGGAGTTTTTCGTGAGCGCCAATACCTCGATCTTTGTTGTCACTAAACTGTTCCACAGCGCAATTGATTTCCGAGCCGAGGAAGAATGCTTGCGCCTGTTGAGCTATCAGTCACCATGAACTTCTCAGATCGCAGCAAAATTACCTCTGGAGTACCGATATATTTCCTTGTGTCTCGAATCCCCCCGGTCTGGGTACGACCAATCACGTTGATTCCCCTGTCCCAAGCGTCCTCGATATGGTCCTGTAGCTTCAGAATACCTGGCGTTCGGCCAGGAAATTCCTCGTGGCCTTGGGCCTTACCACCCTGAATGTAAGAAAGAAGCATCTGTATATTACGATATCCACAGAAACCTCCTTCCTTCGGAGTTTTGCCGATGTGGAGTGTCGACGGATGGCAGTAATAGGCTTCATTCACGGTGCGGTCCAGTGCAGAAAGCTGAGCCAGAATGGGTATGATTCCTGGGGTTTCGTTTTGTACTTGTTCTTGCTTTATCAGACGACCGTCTCTGCCAATGCGATTAATGATGCTGGTCTTTGGACCTGCATCTAGTTGATCATGCAGCCATCTAGGCATGCGTTCTTCCCATGCGTAGGGACCAAGCTCTGATTTCTGTGGATATTAGCAAGGATAGTACTTGCTCGATTTATAGTTGAGCTTACCCCAAGACGAGCACTCTTGTTGGGTGGTTTGGTAGACTTGTCCAACTTTGTAAAGGGATTGAATGTGAGGATACTTCTGGAAATGGTACTCTTCTCGCTGTTGCTGGTATTGCTTCGTTCGCGATGAGTATGTCTCCTCGACTTGCGTCCATGGCTAGAACTTTTCTGAGAGCTGTGAACTGCATCGATATCAGAAGATGATGAAGGACCGGGACGAGGCTGATGGCTGGCGGCTAAGTTATGCATGGTAGCAGATGAATGATGAGAATGATACTTTCCGGTTGTCTCGTCAAAAGATAAAGATTCGGCGTTGTGGTAATCAATATGATCGTTAAAGTCAGAGAGAGAAACAGCTTCGGCACAGTCAAGTTTCGGACACTCTATGGTGCCTTCTTCTTCATCAGAGGAAGGCGAGTCTACCACGTGCTTGCGCTTTGAAGGACTTGGTGACAACGCGGGTAGTTGCGGTTCGGGATCGTCCCAAACTACGAAGGGTGAGTCGGTGGTATGCGCTTGCTCAAAGTGCAGTTGAAGAACATAGTCATCGCTTGGGGGTACTGTGAAGTCGCACATGGGACACGCCAGCAGACCCGTGCTGCTCGCCATGTTGGCGGAGTTGTTGAATGCAATGCGATGGCTGGTGCCAAAGTGATGTTGGCCTCGGGAGTCCAATTCTGCAGGGCCTGAGGACGCAATGCTCTCCACCTGCACAGAAACCGTCACCTCCGACGTACACAACCATGGACTCTGCCGATGGGTGTCCTGTTTGCTGTAGCTTAGCATGACGATAGCAGCTCCGTGAGTTGAGAATGGGTGCATCTTACATGCTCGAGTCCAAGACTGCCTACTGGAATTACGATTCAATGGTTCGTGGTACGTATCGATGTTTGCCAACAGTGTCGGTGTTGTCAAAATGTCGGTGAAGGTTGACGTGAAGTCCAGCTAGGTATCACGCAAACATGCCAAGACTGTTCGAAAGGTCGGTCAGATAGGTATGATTGATCGAACCTACTATCAGCTTGACGAACTCCAGGTACCTAGTGACCTCAATTACAACAAGGTTCCAGGGATAAGTAGGGACAATCCATGGTTTGGCCGTGGTCCGTGAAGCCTTGTCGTGCCTACCTGTATTACCTACCCATCACCAAATCCGGTACCGGTAGACCTCGGTACAAATGATGGCTCATGGCCGTTTTGCAGGCGTACTCCATTCACTCCATTACGCTGGTTGCCCGCTGCTGTGAACCATCGACGCTCATATAGAGTCTGGTTCGAGTGCTCATACCGGTAGAGCACGACGTCATTGGCCCGGTCCACGGGTACCGGTACGCCAAGACCGAGAAAAAAAGTACCTACAGACGTCTGCCCAGAAGGCACACACAGGTGACAAAACAGCGACATATCGACATGTCAACCTCATTGTGTGCCCGACCGTCAGGCATCTGGAACGCTTCGCGGTCACCAGTAACTCGGCAGCTATGTCGACGCGCCCCGGCACGTTGCTATGCTGTCGACAGCACTGACGAACCAGAATGGTTCCAAGCACTACGGGCCAGGATGCTCGGTCGAGAGGCCACGCACATGTATGAGCTCATCACCGCTGGGCCTCAAAGTCGGCTCTCAAATACTCTACTTGGATTCCTCCCGGCTGAATGGTGCCGCCCGCTGCCAACCACGCGTCCAGTGATCCCCCCCGGGCAACATCTGCTATGGTTCAACTCAGCACTACCAACGCAGGAGCTGCTGCCCGATGGAACAGACGCGTCGCAGAGTCCGGGAGATCCTTGGGTACGGCGCATGTGGGCTGGCGGCTCTGTAACGCTCAGGTCAAATGATTACTACGACCGGAAGTATGGCTTTATTCTGAACACGGCCATGGCAGGTACGGAACGGATCAAGGATGTGCGACTACGAGGAGAAGGTGACACAGCCAAAATCTTTGTGACCATCGAACGTCGCTTCGCAAGAGTAAAGGACATATACACTACTATCAGAGAGGAACGCAGACGCGAGTCTCAATACGGCTCTCCAAGCCGTATCTTCGAGCGACTGCTTCGCGACGACCATGAGTGGGGTAGCGCCATCCTTAAAGAGGAGCGTGAGCTTGTTTTCTTCAAGGAGCGATCTGCCGCTGAGCTCAAGGCAATCAAAGCTGGACAGATGATCTCGGTGAAGTATCTAGATCGTAGGTTACCCTTTGATCGTGTACGACAACCACTAACAAGAAAAAGGTCCTAGCGAGCCCGAAGTTTCAGTTGTGCTTATACCCACGCGCTCTCTCCTCTTCCGGTTCTCTGCCCTCACTTTTAATGCACATGCCATCCATCTTGATCGGGAATACGCACGTAGCGTCGAAGGCCATCGCAACCTTTTGGTACATGGCCCACTGTCTTTGGTACTTATGTTGAACGTCATATCGTGGCATTTGAAATCTGCAACTCGAAATCGAGAGGTGGTAGAACGTATTGATTACCGAAATCTTGCGCCTTTGTATTGCGATGAAGAAATGCGCATTTGCGCTGCGAAGAAAAATACAACGGAGAATGGAAGTACATACGACGTTTGGGTTGAGGGACCAACAGGCGGTGTGGCCGTTAGAGGCACGGTACAGACAGCAATGTGGCAAGGAGAAAGTCATCCTAAAAAGAAGAATAGGCAGAGCATGGAGAAATTAGCCAGCACAACCGTAAGGAAGCCCTCCCTGTAGACGTGATTACTATATCTGAACCTCAATTTAGTAATGCGCTTCCAAAATCCAGGGATGCTTCCCATGTGGAACTGCATGAGCTTACTTTGTAGAAGGGCAAGACAATACACAACTCGAACGGAGTTTCATCAATTCCCATGTCCCTGCCAATTTCCGATACCGTTGCGATAGATCCTTTGTCCTCCAGTATTTGGCCAGATGTCCGGGCTGAACAGCTCGACGTACAGAATCCCAAGTCATTTGGCCAGTCGAATCGATACAACAAACGCACTCGTACACGTTCATATCAATTTGTTCAGCCTAGTCCGCCTGTGCGACATGTGAACAGTCATCGACCCCTTCGGCCAACAATGTCGCCTAGATCGCGCTATCTACTACGACGTTTGACCCAGAGGCAGCCACAGACAAATTATGTGAAGCCTCTACCGATAGTACGAACCTATGGTGCTTCACCATATGAAGCCGGGAAATATACTCGATTTCGAAAGTATGGCGTACGCAAGATTGAAAAAGTCAGAGTTAGGATGCTAGCGTCATTATACCCTTCACAATCTCTGAATCGTCGACACTAAGCTCATGGAAATAAGACATTGGTTTTCCATTGGAGGTGGTGGTTAATCTTAACACAGAGTCCTTGGTGGTCAGAATTTTACATTCAACAAGCAGAACCTATCACATAGACCCTGCGTAGGGTACGGTTGTAAACGTCACGACAACTATAATCAGATAGGTAATCGGCCCGCCTTCAAATGTAGCAAATACACAACCCTCGCCGGATGTGATACTCAGGGGGTGTACTAAACATAGCAGCAATAAGTGCTACCTCATTAAAAGTGAATGCCTTTTCGACACTGTGGCAAGTGGTGACGTGCGAACGCCAGGAACAATTATCCTGCTTCGGCATAGCTATGTTCATAGTATTCTGATATGACTGCCCAAATGTCGTATGGTGGAGAATCTAGCATGCCGCGAGGTGACCCGCTAGCTGGGTGGAAAGAGGAGAACCTAGCAGCACCTAAAGCGTCACTACAACAAGGTCATGGCTATCAGGCTACAGTCTATGATGACAGGCCGCCTATTTTCATAACGGCTTCTGATTCTGGGCCATCACCGCCAGCGTTGAGTGACCGCTTGCAGGTTGGCAGGAACATCATCTAGCGACACCGCAACATGCTCATGAGCCAGCACATAGCTACCAGCAGACTCTGTATGATGATCATCCGTCTATGATGGGTCTTCAGGACTCTGAAGAACTTGCGTCAACACCACTACCACGAGCTGCTGCAAGTAGAGGAGTAACAGATGCAGAAAAGGCCGCATGTTCCCAGTGCGACATACGCTGGCCACCACCTAAATCAGCCCATCCCAAGCCCCTCCAACTCCTACTCGATGACAGAGACCCAAGGCGTATTTACTACCATCTTATCCACGAGAACCTTGCTCCTGAATCCAAATTCTCGAAAAAAGAAATCCAATCAAAGGCCCAATCCTTCTTTACCCAGAAATTTCCACCCCCTGAGGCGAGTCCCATACCAGGTAAGTCGCCTCAGGACCTGCAGGAGGCAGAAAAACAAGCAGATTTTGAAGAAAAAGGACGGCTGCGCAAAGCGATCATCACGACAAAGTTGCAAAAGAAGATGAGAGAGGTTAGCACGGGGCCCAGGGGGTCGATTTGGTTGCTGGAGGAGGAGAGTGTGGAGGTGTGGAGATGTATTGAGGTTTTGCAAAAGGGCGATCTGAAGAAGGCGGTTAGGATTGGGCCGATGGTGGAGAGGTTTGAGATTTTTGGAGTTGGGTTGAAGGGGGAGAAGGATCATGTGCTGTTGTTGAGCCAGAATGTCGATGGGTGACCATAGGTACAGTGAGTGACAGTGTCGTAAGGATTGCTTGATACTTTTGTGCGATAGAGTGTATTCAGCTATAAGGCCAACGACAAGTATCCGGGGGCAATCATGCCATTCCAAAGACATTCATGTGAGCTGCTACTCTTTTGCCTTATCTACCTAACACTTTGCATGTAAAGGCTGCGTCTGTTTGCTTCATATTGGGGGAAAAGGATGGATGGGTCCAACACAAGATCTGAGAGTAGCAGATCAACGTCAACATGATTGGTGAGCGTGAAGTGTCTTGATGATCGGAGGTCCGATTCTGGAGCACCATAGATGGTACTGTGTAAGCAAGGCCGAGGTAGAGTAGCCGTTCTGCGTCGGTCATAGCGCCAACCAAGACGCTTCTAGGTGTTTCCGCGACCCAGAAATTTTGAGAACATCGTCCACCTCTCAAGCATCATCTCCGCAAAATTCCCCTACAACACCACATTTCCCTCGTCATCTTGCATTGAGCTGGAGTCTGGGAGCGCTGATTGATCTTTGATACTCTAACCCACACCACAATTCCTCCACACAACCCTACGCACAATGCAGAGAGCTTTTGCATCGCGGGCGCGGACTTCGGTCCTCAACTCTAGCTCCAAGCTTCGGTCTACTACGCTCAATCTTCAGCAGCAGCGGTTTGCACACAAGGTAAGACATCTATGAGAGACCCAAATTGCAATTGATGTCAATGACATACTGACGCCTCTATGTAGGAACTCAAGTTCGGCGTCGAGGCGCGGGCTTCGCTGTTGAAGGGTGTCGACACACTCGCAAAGGCAGTATCAACAACACTGGGTCCCAAGGGTCGCAATGTCTTGATTGAGTCTAGCTACGGCTCTCCCAAGATCACCAAGGGTACTTGCATCCTTACAAATTACTTCCATTGCCCCGAGCTTTCCGCTGACATATTCGCAGACGGTGTAACAGTCGCAAAGGCCATTACCCTCCAAGACAAGTTCGAGAACCTTGGTGCGCGCCTCCTCCAAGATGTCGCCTCCAAGACCAATGAGGCTGCTGGTGACGGTACCACCACTGCCACTGTCCTTGCCCGCGCCATCTTCTCTGAGACAGTCAAGAATGTTGCTGCTGGCTGCAACCCCATGGATCTGAGGCGGGGAACACAGGCGGCTGTCGAGGCTGTTGTCGACTACCTGAGGGCCAACAAGAGGGACATCACCACGAGCGAGGAAATTGCACAGGTCGCCACTATTTCCGCCAACGGCGACACTCACATTGGCAAGCTTCTCTCCAACGCCATGGAGAAGGTTGGCAAGGAGGGAGTCATCACTGTCAAGGAGGGCAAGACCACCGAGGATGAGCTTGAGGTCACTGAAGGAATGAAATTCGACCGTGGCTACATCTCGCCTTACTTCATCACCGACACTAAGACCGCCAAGGTTGAATTCGAGAAGCCATTGATCCTCCTCTCCGAAAAGAAGATCTCTGCCGTCCAGGATATTGTACCCGCTCTCGAGGCCTCGCAACAACTCCGCCGTCCCCTTGTCATCATTGCTGAGGACATTGATGGTGAGGCTCTTGCCGTTTGCATTCTCAACAAGCTCCGTGGTCAACTCCAGGTTGCCGCTGTCAAGGCTCCCGGATTTGGTGACAACAGGAAGTCTATTCTCGGTGACCTGGCAGTCCTGACCAACGGTACCGTCTTCAGCGATGACTTGGACATCAAGCTCGAGAAGGCGACACCCGATATGCTGGGTTCTACTGGATCCATTACCATCACCAAAGAAGACACCGTCATCCTCAACGGTGAAGGTAGCAAGGACCAGGTTTCTCAGCGCTGCGAACAAATTCGTGGAGTCATCAACGACCCCACCACCTCCGAGTATGAGAAGGAGAAGCTCCAGGAGCGTCTTGCTAAGCTCTCTGGCGGTGTCGCCGTTATCAAGGTCGGTGGCTCCTCTGAGGTCGAGGTCGGCGAGAAGAAGGATCGCATCGTTGATGCTTTGAACGCAACCCGCGCCGCCGTCGAAGAGGGAATCCTGCCCGGCGGTGGAACCGGTCTTTTGAAGGCCTCTGCCAACGCCTTGGGCTCCGTCAAGGCTGCCAACTTTGACCAACAGCTCGGTATCACCATTGTCAAGAACGCCATTACCCACCCTGCTCGCAAGATTGTCGAGAATGCTGGTGCCGAAGGCTCTGTCATTGTCGGTAAACTCATCGATGAATACAAGGGTGACTTCAACAAGGGTTTCAACAGCGCAAAGGGCGAGTACGTTGACATGATTGCGGCTGGTATCCTCGACCCCTTCAAGGTTGTCCGCACTGCCCTTGTCGATGCCAGCGGTGTTGCCTCACTTCTTGGAACTACCGAGGTTGCCATTGTTGACGCTCCTGAGGAGAAGTCTGGTCCTCCAGCCGGTATGGGCGGTATGGGAGGAGGAATGGGAGGAATGGGTGGCATGGGCTTCTAAACGCCCAACGCCCAACTGCCTTCCATTCTCTCTTCTAATACCCCTTTACGTTATAGTCACGTTTAGTGTTCGAGTCTTTCCAGCGACGAAGTTATATGTGCGTTATCCGGTTGGTTCTCCGCTCATCTCCCTGTATCCTTCTTATGTTTGAGAACAAAGAGGTGGTCC